ATTATTATCAATGTCCAATTACTTTTTGGGGGCCAAAGACTTTTTTTTTTAAGATTTTATCTATTTATTCATGAAAGACACATGGGGATTTGGGGTGGGCAGAGACACAGGCAGAGGGAGAAGCAGGCTCCATGCAGGAAGCCTGACGTGGACTCGATCCTGGGTCTTCAGGATCATGCCCTGGGCCGAAGGCAGCACTAAACCGCTGAGCCACCCAGGGATCCTAGACTTTTTTTTTTTAAATAATGAGATAATTTATTTATTTTTAAAATGAGTAACTAAAATGCAATTCTATTAAATATTGATCTTATTTAAAAATTACAAATAGCTAACAGGAAAACAAAATATTTCTCTACAATTATGATTCAGGTTTTTTTTTTAATTTTTATTTATTTATGATAGTCACACAGAGAGAGAGAGAGGCAGAGACACAGGCAGAGGGAGAAGCAGGCTCCACGCACCGGGAGCCCGACATGGGATTCGATCCCGGGTCTCCAGGATCGCACCCTGGGCCAAAGGCAGGTGCCAAACAGCTGCGCCACCCAGGGATCCCCTGATTCAGTTTTATAGTCATTCTTAAATGTAACTTCTATTTTTTAAAAGGTTTTATTTATTGGGCAGCTCCAGTGGCTCAGCGGTTTAGCGCCACCTTCAGCTTGGGGTGTGATCCTGGAGACCCAGGATGAGTCCCACATTGGGCTCCCTGCTCGGAGCCTGCTTCTCCCTCTGCCTGTGTCTCTGCCTGTCTCTCTCTCCCTGTGTCTCTCATGAATAAATAAATAAAATCTTTTTAAAAATCTTTAAAAAATCTCTCTTCATGAGAGACACACACAGAGAGGCAGAGACAGAGGCAGCGAGAGAATCAGGCTCCCTGTGGGGAGCCCGATGGGGGAACTCTATCCCAGGACCCCAGGATCACGCCGTGAGCCCAAAGCAGATGCTCAACCACGGAACTTCCCAGGAGACCCTTAACCTCCCCTACCACTATTATGATTCACTCCTCTTCCACTTTTAAAAAAATTACCCCCATACTTGGAACAAGGTAATCAACGTTTTTCTTTTTTTGCCATATAAAATACCTATAATTCTTTTTATAACCGAAGTCCCAAGCAAGCATGTGAGTCCTGATCTCAGGGTCGTGAGTTTGAGCCCCATGTGGAGGGCATGAAACCCACTTAAAAAAACAAAGTTCAATGTCTATAGTAGCCAGTCTCCAAGATGGTCTGGAAGGTATTGATACTATGTAGTTACTTCCTACAACATACCAGAGTTAGTCTGCAGGATCAAGAGAATATAGCAGAATAACATCGTATCGTTTCTCGGATTAGGTTATAAAAGAGATCTGGCTTCCGGCACTGGGGTGGCTTGGTCGTTTGGGTGTCTGCCTTAGGCTCAGGCTGGGATCCCGGAGTTCTGGGATCAAGCCTCACATCTGGCTCCCTAGTCAGTGAGGAGTCTGCTTTTTCCTCTCCCTCTGCCCTCTCCCTGCTCCTTCTCTCTCTTAAATAAAATCTTAAAAATAAATAAAAGAGATCTGGCCTCCACTATAGCACACTCACTCCACACTCCCTTGGATCACTCATTGTAGAGAAAGCCAGCAGTCAAGTTGTGTGCAGCTCTATGGCTAGGCTCATGTGATGACAAACAGTGATGAGGCTTCTTGTAAAAGTCACATGAATGAGATTGCAGTAGGTGGTTCAGGCCAGTCAAGCCTTCAGATGATTACAGCCCTAAGCAACTCTTGACTGCACCCTCAATAACAGGCGCTGAACCAGAATGACCCAGTTAGGCCACTGCGGATTCCTGACCATCAGAACTATGACATAATGTTTATTGTTTTAAACTGTTAAATTTTAGGGTGACTTGGTATGCAGCAATAATACATCACATAATTAAGAAGGTAATCCTTTCATTATTGTAAACAATGCTAGTTTTGTACTAAATATATTTCATTCTAAAAAAGCAAAACTTTCTAGTCTATGAATTCTGAAATACTTTGAGTGGGCTACTAAATCTATAGTAGCCAATAAGATTCACTCAATGAATCCTAATAGAATTTTAGAAAAGTACACGGGAACTTAAACAAATCATCTTATCCCCCTGGCATCCATATCAATTCTCTAAGGAACTAATTAGTGGTTAATTCCAAATCTCTTGCAGGGAATGTATAAGGTGAGCCCATTCATCTTGTTGAGTCAGAAAATAAGAAAACTTTCAAAGATTAATGAAGATGTGTTAAAAGAACTCAACAGTCAGCCTGAAAGGACTTGTATTAATCAGAGTTGTGACAATTTGAGCAACAAAAATGATAGTAATCATTTTTGATTACTAGCCCTAATGAATCAATGAAAATCCCAAAGTATAGAAATATGCTTTAAAAAGAGAGCTTAAGGGACACCTGGGTGGCTCAGTGGTTGGGCATCTGCCTTTGGCTCAGGGCGTGATCCTGGGGACCCGGGATTGAGTCCCACATCGGGCTCCCTCCGTGGAGCCTGCTTCTCCCTCTGCCTGTGTCTCTGCCTCTCTCTCTGTGTCTCTCACGAGTAAATAAATAAAAAATCTTAAAAAAAAAAAAAAGAGAGAGAGAGAGCTTAAAACCAGGGGTGCCTGGGTGGCTCAGTCCATTAAGCCTCTGCCTTAGCTTGGGTCATGATCCCAGGATCCTAGAATCAAGCCCCAGTAGTGTCAGACTCCCTGCTCAGCCGGTAATTTGCTTCTCCCTTTCCATCTGTTCCTCCTGCCCCCACTCATGCTCTCTCTCCCCCTCTCAAATAGATAAATCTTAAAAACTTTTTAAATAACAATAATAATTTTTTAAAAGATTTTATTTATTCATGAGAGACACAGAGTGAGGCAGAGACACAGGCAGAGGGAGAAGCAGGCTCCCCGTGGGGAGCCTGATGTGGGACTCGATTCAGGATCACGACTTGAGCCGAAGGCAGATGCTCAACCACTGAGCCACCCAGGTGCCTTCCCAAAATAAATTTTTTAAAAGAATAAGGATATGCTTTATCCATAAAGCTGAACAGCTATACTTGAAAACTTCTAAGTAAGATGTTTTTTTTTTTAGAGAGAGTGAGTGTGCAAGAGTATCCAACCAGAGTGGGGAGAGGGGAGGAGAGAGAATCCTAGGCAGGCTCCACACCCAGAATGGAGGCCAAAGCAGGATTCAATCTTATGACCCTGAGATCATGACTTGAGCTGAAATCAAGAGTCAGAGACTTAACTGACTCAGCCACCCAGGAGCCCCTAAGAAAGATTTTTTAAAAATCCTTTTATCAAATGATTGGCACCATGTGACTAAGTATAGACAAATCCCAGGAAGAGACACAGACCTTAATGCTGAGTCTCAGTAACTTGAAAGTATCATATTTTTTATTTGGCAATTGCCAAAGGTCAATGTTTTTTTTTTTTTTCTTTTAAAGATTTTATTTATTTATTCATGAGAGACACAGAGAGAGGCAGAGACACAGGCAGAGGGAGAAGCAGGCTCCATGCAGGGAGCCCGACGTGGGACTCGATCCTGGGACTCCAGGATCACGCCCTGGGCCGACGGCAGGCGCCAAACCGCCGAGCCACCCAGGGATCCCCAAAGGTTAATGTTAGAACAGAAGAAATGTTTCATTTAAAAAAATTTGGTAATGGTAAGTTTTAGGGGAGAAAAGTATTAAGGAAAGAAAGAATATTCATCCTTCAAAAATAAACTTTTGACAATGACCAATGCCAAGAAAATATTTATCTCTCATACCAGCCTTCCATTTCAAAGAAGCCCTCATTGCCTACTCTCTTTTTTACTCACAATTAAAGAACGGAGGCTGCTCTGGTTACCAAAAGTGATGAGTTTATTAATTCCAAGTACTCTGTGATAGATCATTACAGAATCCTTATCTGTGGTGATAGTAATGTATCTGATGCCTCTTCCTTCTTTTCATGAAATTGTGTCATCAGTTTTAAATAAAAGAGTAGGGGATCCCTGGGTGGCGCAGTGGTTTGGCGCCTGCCTTTGACCCAGGGCACGATCCTGGAGTCCAGGGATCGAATCCCACATCGGGCTCCCGGCATGGAGCCTGCTTCTCCCTCCTCCTGTGTCTCTGCGCGCCTCTCTCTCTCTCTCTCTCTCTCTCTCTCTCTCTCTCTCTCTCTCATAAGTAAATAAATAAATAAATCTTTTTTAAAATTTAAATTAAAGAGTAAAGAAAAGGCATATCCATGTATGCCAATGTTACTATGTCTGATAAAAAAGAGATATGAGGTAGATGGGCTATCCTTCAGTTGTTGCATGACAAAGGACCACAAATGTATAGGTTTAAAACAACATACATTTATTAGCTCACAAACCTACCCCAGTATGTCTGAATACTCTGCTCAGGGCCTCCCTAAGCTAAAAGCAAAACATCAGCCAGGCCTGCCGTTCTCATCAGGGCTTGCGGTCCTCTCATACAGGCTTACTGGCAAAATTCATTTCCTCCTCACTTCACACCAGCAACAGAGCAGCAATCCATCTCCTGCTTCTAATATCTCTGACCTCCCCTTCTGCACCCGGCGGAGAAAGAGCTCTACCTTTAATGACTCATCTGGTTAATTAGATCAGGTCCACCAGGTAATCTTCCTACCTGAAGGTCAATTGTGCCATTTAAGGAAACAATCACAGGAATGATTCCTCATCATATTCACAGGTGGGAATTAGGGTGTGGAATACTTGGGAGGTAGCATTTTTATTTTATTTTATTTTTTTTGGGGGGGTGGCATTTTTAGAACCAAATACCACAGCCATAAGAAAACTGTAAAACTGGGCAGGCCTGGTGGCTCAGCGGCTTAGCGCTGCCTTCAGCTCAGCGCATGATCCTGGAGACCCGGGATCGAGTCCCACATTGGGTGGGCTCTTTGCGTGGAGCCTGCTTCTCCCTCTCCCTGTGTTTCTGTCTCTCATGAATAAATAAATAAATAAAATCTTTAAAAAAAAAAAAAACACTGTAAAACTTCACTTAAACATTTCTTACCTGTTAATAATGAACCACGCAACAGTAAGCATCCCTGCTAGCCATGTTCCACTCATAAGCCAACTTGTAACAAATAAAGCAGTAACATATATTCCTTGCAATCCAAAAACAATGCCAATATAGAAATATACTGGCTCAATAATCTCCTAATTGGAAAAAAAAGAGAGAAGATAATAGGACAACATTGAATAATTTTAGTTATTTGTAAATATGTAAAAAATAAATATTAAAGTCAAAAGAAACATACATTGCTACCAGTTGCTTGATATAAAACACTGGCGATAAGTTCTGGATATAGAGACATTTGCTGCACTGCATTTATTGTCTTCAGAGATACAGTTTTGTTATTGTGTGTCAATTCATAAACACCTAGAGACAGAAAAATTTTTCTCCAGATTATTCTGCTTTTACAATATTAAATATATCATTCAGAGCTCATTAAATATTTTAAATTATTACTAAGAAAAATCTCAAAATATAACACACTGTGCATTTTTCCAATGTTTTTATTAAGTATAAGAAAGAATAATGCTTATATTCTAAGACAAATCTCCACATTCAAGGGCTCCCATATAGCACAATGTATTTTAGGAAAATGTTGTTATTAAAAATACAAACATGGGAGGTACCTAGCTGGCTCAATCGGTAGAACATATGACTCTTGATCTCAGGGTCCTGAGTTTGAGCCCCAAGTTGGGGGTAGAGTTTAATTAAGAAAAAAATACAAATGTGGTTATCATACCTCTTTCAAATGAGGGTGCTTTTAACATATCTTTATAATAAGAGTAATAAATGGCACTGTCACCTTGAAATGTGATTTCTCGTTCAAGCTCCTACAAGAAAATGAAATGATTATTTAAATCATTAAATATCCTAAATTGCAACTGCAATCTTTCTCTCTCCTCTTCTAAATTAATGCTATTTATTTATCCTTTATTCAAAGAAATGTTTGAATTTTCCTTTGGTCATTAGTGGCCACATTACAGAGGTTAAATTTTCAATAATCTGGCAGTCATTTTAATGAAACACCTAAGGTTTGGGGCATCTGGGTGGCTCAGTCAGTTAGCATCCACCTCAATTTTGGCTTGGGTCATGATCTCAGGGTCATGAGACTGAGCCCTGCATAGGGCTCTGTGCTCAGCAGAGTCAGCTTGAAATCCTCTTGTTCGTTCTTCTCTCTCTCTCTCTCTCTCTCTCTCTCTCTCTCTCTCTCTCTCTCTCCCCCCCCCGCCCCTCCTCCTGCTTACATGCTTCTCTCTCAAATAAATAAATCTTAAAAAGAAAAAAAAAAACATAAGGGTTTAAAATGGATTCTAGGGATGCCTGGGTGGCTCAGTGGTTGAGTGAATGCCTTCAACTCAGGGCATGACCCTGGGATCCTGAGATGAGTCCCGCATCAGGCTCCCTGGATGGAGACTGCTTCTCCCCCTGCCTGTGTCTCTGCCTCTCTATGTCTCTCATAAAAAAATAATAAAATAAAAATAAAAATAAATAAAATAAAATGGATTGCAGCTCATAAGTCATTTACCTATTATGTATAAGGAAAATCTAGAAGGAAAACCAGAAAAAATGCCCTAAGGACAGCAAGAATAGTAAGGTAAGTAATAAAAAATGATGGTTGAGGTATTAAAGTCCATAATAAAAAGAGAAGTTAAAGGAGAAATTAGTATTTCCTATTGCTTTTTCTATTTCCCTATATATCCAGAACTGTAAACCCTTAACTCTTTTCAAGAGTAGCAGATACGTAATCAGTGTTTTTCAAAAGAACTTCCAGAAATATAAGTAAATCTTAAGTTCCTAAAACTGGGCTATACAGGTGTCTGCATTGCTTAGTCAGGTAATCGATTCTTCATTTCAGCTCAAATCATGATCTCAGGGTGGTGAAACTGAGCCCTGCACTGGGCTCCATGCTGAGTGAGGAGTCAGCTTGAGATTCTCTCCCTCAGCCCCTCCCCCACAAGTGTATACGTGTGTGTGCGCGCACACACAGTCTCTATATCAAAATAAATAAATCTTTAAAAACATTATCGTAAAATATTGGGCTATACAGAACCAAGAATATAAGTAATCCAAAAACACTGAAAAGTTTTGTGCATTGTATGACAAACCATGCTTTCATAAATCTATAGTCTCTGAAAACAAAACTCCTTTATTTTCATGCATATTTATCAATTAATATAAAAGATATCAGAGCATTTTTTCCTAAGTTTGATAAACAGAATTTCCTAAGATATAAATAGGTGTTACCTAAAGAGTTCTATGGTTAAGTAAGTTATGCAAAGGCAGCATTAAAGAAAATTAATGGGGACGCCTGGGTAGCTCAGTGGTTAGGCGCCTGCCTTCAGCTCAGGGCGTGACCCCGGGGTCCTGGGATCAAGTCCCACAACAGGCTTCCTGCAGGGAGCCTGCTTCTCCCTCTGCCTGTGTCTCTGCCTCTCTCCCTCTCTGTGTGTCTCTCATGAATAAATAAGTAAAATCTTAAAAAAAAAAAAAGAAAAAATTAATGGGTTTCTTTATTGCAAGACTTTTCAGAGTTTCAGTATAACTTATATATTGTGAATCTCCAAGAGGAAATCTTTCCCAGATCTACTTGATTGTTGAATTTTTTTTCCTCCTTCAGAGCTTATTAATCTAAATAAATTTCCTTAACAAAAAAATCTGATAAATTTCCTTTAAGTGATTCTTTATGAATGGAAACAGATTTCTTTCTAAGATTTCAAATATGTAAATTGTTAATCAATGCTTCTCAAATTTAATGTTTTTATGAAAGTCCTAGAGATCTTATTAAAAGATCTCTGATTAGATTCTGCTTCTAAAGTGGGGCCTGAGAATCTGCAATTCTCAGAAAGTTCCCAGGTAAAGTCAATGTTCCTGACTAATACACAGTGTTTTAAAAATGACTTCGAGGGATCCCTGGGTGGCGCAGCGGTTTGGCGCCTGCCTTTGGCCCAGGGCGGGATTCTGGAGACCCCGGATCGAATCCCACGTCGGGCTCCCGGTGCATGGAGCCTGCTTCTCCCTCTGCCTGTGTCTCTGCCTCTCTCTCTCTCTCTCTCTCTGTGTGTGTGTGTGTGTGTGTGTGTGACTATCATAAAATAAAATAAAAAATTTAAAAAATAAAAAATAAATAAATAAATAAGTAAAAATGACTTCGATGTTTTCAAACTCTTGGTTGTTCTCGATTCTGCCTACACAACAGATTTGCTTAGACATCTTTTGAAATGCTGATCCTAGATTACCCCTCCACCCCCATCCCACGTAAAAATCTGAGAGGGAGGTTATTTTTTAAAAGCTCATCAGATAATCCTACTGTACATCCTGTATTGAAAACTACTAATAGTTAATATGTATAACATTTTCAAGGAAATAGGATATGCTATAGTAATAGCTTCTGTCAGATCAATAAAGGTGATTAATCACCTAAATGTTTTGGTGTTTTGGGAGGATTAGGTCAATCGATAGCTTAAAAACATCCAGTCAGCTTGACTATTGCTCAAAAATAAGAACAAGAGGAACACATGGGTGGCTCAGTGGTTGAGCATCTGCCTTTGGCTCAGGGCGTGATCCCGAGTCCCGGGATTGAGTCCCATCTCGGGTTCCCCGCAGGGAGCCTGCTTCTCCCTCTGCCTGTCTCTGCCTTTCTCTCTGTGTCTCTCATGAATAAAATAAATAAGATCTTAAAACAAACAAACAAACAAACAAACAGTTTGGACTAAAAAAGAAAAAGCTCTTAGAGTCAACCTGTAACACTGTGGACTTTGTCAATGCATGAAAGATATGTATCTGATTGTAAAAGAGAACAAATTTACTCAAAAGTTAAATTATGAATTAGATAAGTAGCCAGAGTGACTAAGGGTCTGTGGAATACACATGATTTAAAACCAGACATTAAACATACTAATATGAAGAGACATCTTAATAAATACTGTCATGCATGTTAATAATTTCCAAGTCCCCAAAACATTCTAATCCCATGATCTAAAAATTATTATTTACTACCAAAACTTCTACAGATTGTTTTGGAAATGTAAACAGAAACAACCAAAACTACTGAAAGTGTGACTAAACTCCGTAACATTTCACTGTCATCAAAAGCCCCACGTAAAGGAGTCGCATGAAGGAAAGCATCCTCATAGCTTCTCTTACATAGCCCGGAAATACACTGTACTAAATTTTTTAAGGTTGATGCTATGACTGTGTTCTCAAAATAGTTCCTACAACATTTTTTCTAATGCCTGTAAATAAGAAAGCACTTGTCATACTTATCACAAATATATATTTTGGCTCCCTGAAAAACACATTACTTAGATTAAAATTAAATACTAAAACAACTTCCATATGCTCAAAAATTCTTTCTTCTTACCTGCCTGTTGGAAAACCAGAATTTCCGTTCATGGTATGCTGATAAATAGAGAGCATACATCATACCACTAGTAACTGCTGCAAGACAGCCAATGAAAATCTTTGCAAAGCGCTGAAATAATACATCTGAAAAAGCATATTAAAAGTAATCAGATGTAGATGATATTTATATTTATGCACTTCTATTTTTAAAAAGTAATCAAAAGGTAGTATGTACCATTGATATGATGTGAGGAAAATGGCATTCTAACTCTGCATTCTTCCTCCCCAAAACCTATAACCCCAGTCTAATGAGAAAAACAGCAAACATATTCCAATAGAAGGGCATCCTAAATATACCTAACCAGGATTCCTCAGAACTGTCAAGGTCACTGAAAACAAGGAAAGCCCCAAAAGGAGTGTGAGGAGACATGCTAACTAAATGTAATTGGGATCCTGGAATAGAAAAGGAACATTAGGTAGCAGCTAGGCAAATCCGAATAAAGTCTGGGTCTTATTTAAAAATATTGTATTAATATTGGTTCATTATCTATAACAAAAATACCATCCTAATACAAAATGTTAGTAATAGGGAAAACTGTGTGTGTGGGCGGAAGGAGGGTGTAAGAAGGGGACGCTGCACTATCTGGATGGCACATTCTACAAAGCCATGCTCATATATAGTTCAGGAGGATAATAGAAAAGGAAGGACCTCCAGAGGGTGGAACCAGGAACCACAGAGTACAATCAGCTGGGAAGCTACTCCCAAGGAAACAACTGGGGCTTAATCAAGAAACATCCCTACCCCAGAGTAAGAAGCCCTCATATCCATCTGGTAGGATTTTAAAACTGTTATGGATCAATGGCTGATATGCCTTTCACTCTTCCTCTTTCTGAATGGAAGCATTTGTTTTGCTTATCCTGTCCCTGTCCAACAATGTATACTGGGAGAGGGGGCCTGTGCAGAAAAGTTAACACAGCAGCCCTGCAACTGCTTTGTGGAGAAAAGCCTGCCTGCAAGGTAAGCTCTTTGTTGGAATCTGGGAACTTGGATTTCAGGAGGGTTCCCACCATTCTCTCATCAGTTAGTTTACTGTGCCTGACCTGTATGTACAAACCATGTGGTTCATGTTCGCTGCTTTCCTTCTGGGAATCTAGTTTTGGTATGTGGTAGGTAGAGGGGACATGACCAGCCGCCAATAAAAACTGCAGGGGCACCTGGGTGGCTCAGTCAGCTCAGGTCATGATCCCAGGATCCTGAGATTGAGCCCCGCGTCACACACCTTGCTCAGCGTGGAGTCTCCCTCTCCCCCTACCCCTCCTCCTGGCTTGTGTGTGCTTGCTCATGCTCTCCTCTCTCTCTCTCAATAAATAAATAAAATCTTAAGGGAAAAAAAAATAAACCAATTGTGTGCAGTCATTACTGAGTTTCCCTGGTACACAAAACTTTACAAATGTTACAATTTGATGCTGAAGGAGTTAAGCGCATCCTGTGTGACTCCATTAGGAAAAGAATCAGGAAAGTGGGACTCCTGGGTGGCTCAGCGGTTGGTGCCTGCCTTTGGCCCAGGGCATGATCTTAGAGTCCTGGGACTGAGTCCCACATCAGGCTCCCTGTATGGGGCCTGCTTCTCCATTCGCCTGTGTCTTTACCTGTCTCTCTCTCATGATTAAATAAAATATTAAAAAAAAAAAAAAAAAAGAATCAGGAAAGCTTATGCCTATTTCCTTACAGACTTTAGCCCACTGGCCTTTTCCCTTTGCTGATTTTGTTTTGTATTGTTCACTGTAATAAATCATTGCTGTAAATTTCTGAGACCTGCAAGTCCTTCCAGTTAATCATGAAATATGAGAGTGGTCTTGGGGACCCCTAACATAAAGCACGTAACTTAACTTTTTAATTCACTGGTCTCTGGACTAGAATGAATCTCAACTGGCCCTGACAGAGATAAGAAGACCTTGGGCCTCCAGACTGCTGCCAGGACTGGGTAAGACTGAGTATCTTCCTTGGGGTCAGAGAGGTAGTGAGTATATTTTGTTTGAGGAAGAAAAGTAAATATTTATGACCAATAGGAAAGAATGTGGTAGACTATTATATTATTATTCCCACTTATTTTGTCCTTTCCTATAAAAGGATTAATCATCTCTGCCCACTACCATGTGGCTTGCAATGCTTCCCTGTAGTCAGAGTGTACTTCTCCATCTCACTCTGGATTGATTATAGGACTTTGGGTCAACAGAATGTGAGTACAAGTGACAGAGTGCCAGTTCAGCAGAAAATTTCAGGACAGTGCTGCCTCTTCTCCTGCTCTTTTCATCGGGCCCAAGAAAACATCCCAAGTAAGGGGCGTTCCTTCATGACACATGAAGCTACACCAACCAACCTGAAGCCACAACATGGAACATTAGTCAGAAATAAGTGTTTTTTGTAAAACCGTGAGATTGAGTTGTACTACAACAAAAACAATGAAAGTTGACTGATAACACAATATAATTAATCTCAAAGTAGTTATACACATTTAAAATATTAATATAAAACAAGGGTGCCTGGGTGGCTCAGATGGTTACATGTCTGCTTTCAGCTCAGGTCATGATCTCAGGGTCCTGGGAACTAGCCCATGTCAGGGAGAGTCCTGCTTCTCCCTCTCCCTCTGCCTCTCCCCCTGCTGGTACTCTGTCTCTCTCTCAAATGAATTTTTAGTGCTCGCTTCGGCAGCACATATACTAAAATTGGAACGATCAAATGAATTTTTAAATTAAAAAAATATATTAATATATAATACCTAGTATACAAAAAGCCATTCTTGTAATAGCACAAAAACTCCAAATTTATCTAACTTACGTTTCGGGGCTTTTTCAGGAATTGGAGTGTCACTGATCTTCTCTTCTTTGGCAGATTCCTTATTTTCTGAAGACTTCAGCTTTTTTCTTTGGCGCAGTTCTACTGTTGGTCCTTAAAATATTTAAGATGTTATTGCAACATGTGTATCAAGTTGTTCTTCTAATCTATAACCCAAATGAATCCACTTTTGTTATACTAAGGCAGAAGTCAGTTGGAGACCTTTTAGTACAAAAGATAACTTTTCACAATTGAATAAATCATTCATTTAGACAGAAAAAACTGTTTTTCCTACAAAACCTGTTTTTCCTACAAATTTAGACTATGTCTTCTAGCTGTGCTTTCAGAGTTCTACTGATAAATCAATAAGCTCTTCTCCTGAGATAATGTTATTTTCAAAATATTCCAAAATAAGTAAACTCCTTTCCAGAATAACTGGGGAGCAAGGTGTTATTTAATATATTAGCATATTATTCTAGTTTCCTGAGAGTATCACACTCATCATTCAAGGGTTAACAATTTTTTTATCATTCAAAATATAATACAATACATTGATCATAAGACTATTTCATTTTTTTTTAATTTTTATTTATTTATGATAGTCAGAGAGAGAGGCAGAGACACAGGCAGAGGGAGAAGCAGGCTCCATGCACCGGAAGCCCGATGTGGGATTCGATCCCGGGTCTCCAGGATCGCGCCCTGGGCCAAAGGCAGGCGCCAAACTGCTGCGCCACCCAGGGATCCCGACTATTTCATTTTTAAAATAATCTTGCAGTTCTGCAGAATTTCACAGTGCTGTGATATTACCATTGCACAGTTTAGGTATTAGAAATGGCATATCCCTGTATGTGGGAAGCCGTCAGAAAATTTCCCAGTATTAGGCTACCCTTTTATGTCTGATAAAAAATGGAACCCAGGAGTGCCTGTGTGCTCAGTCAGTTAAGCATCTACCTTTGGCTGGGGTCATGATCCCGGGATCCTGGGCAGAGTCCCGCATCAGGCTCCCCACTCAGTAGGGAGTCTGCTTCTTCCTGTCTGTCCCTCACTCCTTCTCATGCACACTCTCTCTCAAATAAATACATAAAATCTTAAAAAAAAAAAAAAAAAAGTAAAGCAGAAAGTATCTCCAAACCAGTAAACTAAATTCTAAACGAAACAAAAATTTACTATATTCAACCTAACTACTTTTCTTCCTAGAGGTATCTTTTTCTTTTTTAAGTAGGCTTCTGCACCTAGCATGGAGCCCAACACTGGGCTCTATCCCATGACCCTGAGATCACAACACAAAACAAAACCAAGAACTGGACGCTCAACTGACTGTGCCACCTAAAGGCCCCAGATTTTCAGTATTTTTGCACACAAATCTGGGTCAATTGATACATATTACTGTATTTCTTTTTCATGATGGCTTTTAAATTTTCCTCTGCTGTGAGATAAAGCAAAATTTAAAAGCACCCAACAAAAATGAGGATTTAGGGGCACATGCACCTCAATGATTATAGCAGCAATGTCCAAAATAACCAAAATATAGAAAGAGGCCAGATGTCTATTGACAGATGAATGGATAAAGACGACGTGGCGTATATATACAATAGAGTATTATTCAACTATAATGAAAGATGATGAAATCATCTCAGAAAGGATGAAATCTTGCCATTTGCAATGACGTGGATGGCACATGCTGGCCATGGAGTCTAGTTTTAAATAAATAAATAAATAGATAGATAGTTTTAAATAAATAAATAAATAGATAATAATTTTTTTTCTTTACCTGTCACCGAGAAACAAAACTAACTAGATCCAGATTTCACCTAATTTTCTTTATACTGATCTCATAACTTCATAATTGAAATGCAAAACCAGGAATCTCTCGGTGGAAAAGCAGCAAAGGCCAAAGCAATGAATGATTTAGATTAACTCTGATAGGGAACGCTCTAGGATAGAATTTAAGTTTCTTCTTCCTCTTACATCTTTAGCATTGTTAAGAAAAAGTCAAACTAAATGAAAATGATAACACAGACACAAAAATAACCCACTATTTCAGGCTCTGGTCTAGTGGTCTCCACATGAGATAGTTAGCAGAGCTACAAATAGGCCTGCAAATGTCCATCCAGACTACGTAACAGCAATTTCTAAATGAAGTGTTAATACTGCTGTACTCAAAGCTGCCACTTCTTTCTTTGCTCTAACATTTCTTTCAGGAAATACCAATGTGAACAACCTGACCCTCTACCGCATCAAGGAAGACATTTTTTTGCCAGAGGAGATTCTTAAAAAATCATTCACCCGGAGTTAATAGTGGGACAACGAAATACATCCAAGTGAATGTGAAGATAAGCAAAAAAGATATAGGGAACATCTAGATACAAGTAAAGCAGACCACAGAGTTTCATTTTTAAAAAGATTTTTTTATTTATCTGAGGGGGAGAGAGAGAATATGGATGATGGGGAGGGGCAAAGGGAGAGAGAGAAGTGGGCTCCCGTTCAGCCGGGAGCATGGTGCAGGGCTTGATCCCAGGACCCAGAGATCATGACCTGAGCTGAAGGCACTCAACTGACGGAGCCACCCAGGAGGTCCCCATTTACTCTAATTTTAATACAATACGTATCTTGAAAACAATTTGTAGAGTGCCAAATAAATGTAAAGCACTCAGAATGCCTAACACGTAGACATATTTGCCATAAATATTACAAGAATTATTATGATAAATAAAATACAAATACTCATTTATTGTTGACTGCTGTATCCCCAGCACCTAACACAGTAGGCACTCAAATGTTTATGGAACTAAAAAATTGTTGAATGGGGGGACCTGGGTGGCTCAGCGGTTGAGCATCTGCCTTCAGCCCAGGGCGTGACCCCGGGGTCCTGGGATCGAGTCCTGCGTGGGGGCCCCTGCCTGGAGCCTGTTTCTCCCTCTGCCTGTGTCTCTGCCTCTCTCAGGTATAAATAAAATCTTTTAAAAAATGAATAAACAAACAAACAAACACCTACCGGAACCAATGATAACAAATGGAATTACATTCGTCCTTACAAAATACAAATAGCCTTGATTTCGAAGTTGTTTTTAGGTAGAGAGCCCTAAATTTAGAACAGCGCTAGTACTCTGGTAATTCAAGAAAGAGGCGGTGGATACGAAGCCAGTGTGAGCAGCGGGACAGGGCGGCGAGCCGAAGAACAGAGAACAATTTCTTAAAAATTGTTTCCCGCTGGATTCTTGCCATTCGGTCCTCGCACTCCCGGTTCAGGTTATAGCTTCATCCTCACGGAGGTCGCCTGCACAGGTGCACTCCAGAAGGTGCACGGTAGGTTTCCCCCCAGGACACAAATTTCTTTTTAAAAGACTTTATCTATTTATTCCTGAGACCCAGAGAGAGGCAGACCCAGGCAGAGGGAGGAGCAGGCCCCGCGGGGAGCCCGACGCGGGACTCGATCCCGGGACCGGGGCTCACCCTGGGCCGAGGCGGCCGCCCCACCGCCCAGCCCCGGGCCCCAGGACGCAAAGGGCCGCGCAGCCGCCACGTGCACCCGCCCCCGAGGCTGGCGCGGGCGGGACGGTACCTCGCCCCGGACGCTCCCTGCAACACCGGCCCCGGGCAGGTGCGACCCTCGGGCTCCCCGTTTCTCTCTCGTACGCATCATTTTCCTTTGAAAAACAGTAATGACGGAGGGGATCCACTTTGTTAGCGGCGGCCCTGGGGGTCCCGGCCAGCTCCTGCAGCCCCCGCTGCGCCCAACCCCTCCCATGCCCCCCACCCGTCGGCCCGCGGCCCCCCGGGAACCCGCCTCCCTGCTGCCCGCCCGAGCCCCGACCCCGACGCCGACCGCGACCCCCACAGCCCCGGGGGCGGACGGGGGCCCCACCCGCTCCTGCACGCACCTGCGCAGGGCGCCCGCGGGAGGGGCCTGGGTCCCGCGCCAGCACGGCCCGCAGCCGCTCCTCTCACCCCGGCTAGGCCCCCTCCCCCTGCACCCCTCCCCCTGCACCCCTCTTCCTCTCCAACCTCCTCCCCGCCGCACTCCCTCCCCCATCCCTCTCCATCCCCCTCCATCCCCCTCCCCCCCCCTCCCCGCCCCCCAGCTTTCGCTCTTCCGACCCGCTTCCCAACTTTAAGCTCCACCTCTGCTTCCCGCGCAGGCGGACGAAACTCGGGGCACCGGCTGGGCTCCCGCACGTCGCCTCCCCGCCCCCTCGCCCCCCCGCCCGCCCGCAGCCCGCCCCCCGGCCCCCCCGCCCCTCCTCCCCGAGACTTCGGGCGACGATGGTTGGCGCGGGGACCCCGGGGCCGTCACCTTCTTCCTCCGCCATCGTCTCCGCGGAGGCCCGGGCTGCCCCTCCGGGTCCCGCGCCGCCGAACCCCTCCGCGGCCCCAGGACCGCTCCGGCCGCCGCGCCCACACTTCCTGACCCGCCCCCCCGGTGTCGCCGCCAACCGCGTCCCGCCGCGGGCCCGGGAACCAGGGAGCCGGGAGCGGAGGACGCCCGGAGCGTATTGCGGGCGCACCCAGGCCTGCGCGCGCAGGAAGACGGCCCGACGCGCGCTGGCACCGCCCACGGCCGACGCGCCCGGAGCCCCGCCCCGCCCCTCCCTCCGGACCTCCCGCCTTAAGCCCCGCCCTCCTGGCCTCACGATGCCCCGCCCCCTGGCCTCCCGCCTTAAGCCCCGCCCTCCTGGCTTCCCGACGCCACGCCCCCGCCACGCCCCCTGGCCTCCCGCCTTGCGACCCGCCCCCTGGCCTCCCGACGCCCCGCCCCCAGGGTCCCGCCCCCTGGCCTCCCGGCGCCCCGCCCGACGCCCCGCCCCCTGGCCTCCCGGCGCCCCGCCCGACGCCCCGCCCCCTGGCCTCCCGGCGCCCCGCCCGACGCCCCGGCCCGGGAAGGGGAAGGTGGGATCCCCGCGGCCCTCGCGGCTTGTGTGGCTCCCGCCAGGCGGAGAACCCGTCGGATTCCTGCCCCAGGTCCGACCCCGCCCGCGCGCCCTTGCACCGCAGGCTGAGCTCAGCCAGGCGCCCGGGTTCCGAGCCACTTGGTCCTTACAGGAGAGAAGCTTCTAGGTGGAATCGAGGGCTTTTAACGCCCCGCAGAGCTTAAATACACTTGCATTTCGTGATAGTCTTTAAAGAAACAGGGCCGCCCGGGGGGCTCAGCGGAGGAGCGGCTGCCCTCGGCCCAGGCCGTGACCCCGGGGTCCTGGGTTCGAGTCCCGCGTCGGGCCTGCTTCTCCCTCCGCCTGGGTCTCTGCCTCTCTCTGTGTGTCTCATGAATAAATAGATAAAATCTTTAAAAAAGAAAAAAAGAGAACCATTAATACTAGGGTCGATGCGGGGGTGGGGGGGAACAGGATGCATTTAGATACTCACAGCGGGGGGAGCATAGTTTTAGCTTGTTATATGCCCTGGCTCGTATTGCATCTGGGCATTCTCCAACAAACACCAGGAACTTTTCCCCAACAATATTCAGAAGTAGACTTAGGAAGTGACAAAATGCTCGTTTTAGAGCATGGGGGGAAAAAAAGCACTAGGACTCATTGAAGTCCTGGGGTAATTATGGACGTCCCATTCGGAGCAGGCGGCAGGATTCCCCTCATAGCGCCCTTGTCGAGTTAGGATAGTTTGAGAGAAGCTATGGCTTTTCAGAGTCGGGCAAAAAACAGTTTCAGGGACTCTTTTTATGCATTGGGTTGCCTGTAAATAGGCCTTGCCCGGACACAGCACTGGACCAGGAGTTAGAAACTCGGTGGAGAATGCTTTATTATTTCAGCAGGACTGATTTTTCAAAGGAACGATGGAATGTACATACCATGAAGGAAAAGAATGCTTACTACATTCAAAAGCAGTTTTATTAGCATGTTTGGTGGCATAAAAGACATCCTTAAAAATATTTAAAATCAAGGATGTGAAAGCACATTTGACACATATACAATGTACAAATATTCTAAAATATATAAATAACTACAAATTAAGACGTGAAAGACAACAGGCAACTCAGTGCATAGGAACCTGGTTGAAGTGTAAGAACGCGAATCACAGAAGTGCAAGTTAAAACAACTTACGCACATCACACTTCTACCCAGCAGGTTTGCAAAACATTGAGAGTCTGAAAAGAAAAATCAATGAGGATGTGTGTGCATTACATGTCAGTGCTGTGCAAAAAACCGTTCCAGGAACGCTTTCCATGCCTCTGGTTGCCTGTATATATGTCTTGCCCGGAAGCAACACTGGACCAGGATTTAGAATCACGGCAGAGGCTGCCCATAGACCCGAAAAGACAGGGATCAAAGCAGAGAGAACAGAACGTGTGGACTTGAAACCACAGGGTGGGGGAGGGCATGGTCATGGGCAAGAGATACCAGAGTGTCCGCCTTATCAGATGACCCTTCCTGCGACAGCTACACCTCCCTGGAGAACAGCACGTGGCCACGGAGGCCCGTTGTTTTCCAAGAGTCTTGGGGTGATGGCCATTCCTCCTACAGTTCCCTCATGATCCCCTGCAGGTGACGGACTTACCTGCAAATGTGCCTGCTCTGAACAGCAGCGGGCACAGAGGGAAAACAGCCTCTTAAACAGAAATGGAATCATGAAAGAAGAAAGATCATTATTCAGTCTTGAGTTAGGAATCAGTGGAATCCTGGGCAGCCCGACGTTGGGGGGGGGGGGCAGCGGTTTAGCACTGCCTTCGGCCCAGGGCCTGGTCCTGAAGTCCTGGGATCGAATCCCCAATTGGACTCCCTGCATGGAGTCTGCTCCTCCCTCTGCCTGTGTCTCTGCCTCTCTCTGTCTGTGTCTCTCATGAATGAATAAATGCAATCTTTAAAAAAAAAAAAAAAAAAAAAGGAATCAGTGGAATCCTGACTGCGTTCCCCATTGTTCTTCCCTGAACTGTGAGACTTCCACATAAGGAAACTGACAATGGAATGTTCTATTTCCCCCCAATCTCTCATTTTGCTCTGAGAGAAATAGGCTTTTTCCCCCCAAAATATACATGTAATCTGAAAAGATAGAACCCTAAGTGCTCAAGATGTTGCCTTGCAGCAGACATCATACCTGAGTTTTCAGCAGCTCAATCCATGATTCTCTAATACCAGCTGCTTCCAGATGGCAGTGGGCACAGGCAGGGGACGCATGGCCCAAAGATCACTTCTGGTGATAACTTGATTATCTTCTTACCTTTGCAATCATGCCCTGCTAGTTTCCAGTCCAAAGTCTGAAGGGTCATTTCATTGCCTTTTGCCTCACCTTGACCAATCCTAAAGGCCTATCGCTGTCTCAAGTGGTCTTTTATTTGCAATATGCTCTCGAAGAACAGTATGATTTTCTGCCAACTTTGGAAGTTTCAGGATCCCTTCTGTACGCAATGGATATTTTTAGGGAGTGATATAAAATGCTCTTTGTTTTAAGAAGTTAAATCATGGAAATGGAGCTTAGGAGGTTATTGCAGTACACTGGGTAAGGAACAAAGACTCGGAATAAGGTCATGGAAATAAAAATGTTCAAAGAGAATGGACTCAGAGAATGCCGGAGATAAAATCTACAGCACCTGATGACAAATTGGACGTGATACGTGATGAGTTGAAGATGATTCCTGAGGTTTCTATTTTGAAATTAATCATGTAGTTTTTATATGCCAAGTATAGTGTGCTGCCAAGATGTGAGAAGAACATAAAATAGAAACCCCTGGGGACTTACCTGCTTGAAACCAACAAAATGCAGGCAAAGTCTATTTCAAAAACATTCTTTTATCAAATGCTTCAACTTGGGGCACCTGGGTGGCTCAGATGGTTAAGCGTCTGCCTTTGACTCAGGTCTTGATCCCAGAGTCCCAGGATGGAGCCCCGCATCCGGCTCCCTGCTCATCAGGGAGTCAGCTTCTCCTTCTCCCTCTCCCCCTCCCCTGTGCTCCTGCTTCCTCTCTCTCTCTCTTTCTCTCTCTCGAATAAATAAAATCTTTAAAATTAATTAAAAAAAATATGGGGATCCCTGGGTGGCTCAGCGGTTTAGCTCCTGCCATTGGCCCAGGGCGCGATCCTGGAGTCCCGGGATGAGTCCCACGTCCGGCTCCCGGCGTGGAGCCTGCTTCTCCCTCTGCCTGTGTCTCTGCCTCTCTCTATGTCTATCATAAATAAATAAATAAATCTTTTAAAAAAATAAAAAATAAAATTAATTCAAAAAATCAAAAGAAAAACCAAATGCTTCATCTTATTAGTAGTAACAGAACAGAATTAGTAAATCCTTGCATCAGTTCAGTTTTTCTTCTATTAAAGATATGGAATTTGTTTTATCGTTATTATGTAATAAAGCCTTAATGATCTACTGGTTAGCAGCATATTTACATTATTCTCAAACACCATCTCCTTTGTGAAGTCTGAACCAAATGTGATCAATTCAGATTTGAAAACATGTAACACCCTCACCACCGTTATATTCAGGCTTGTGTTGTGGTCATGTTTGATCCCCATACTTTCAACTCTCTGAAAACACATTGTAGACAAATATTTTGGAGATTGACTTAAAAGTTGATGATGATGTAGGTGTGACTTAGAAGACCAACATAAATTGTGTATTCGGCACTATCGATGAGAACTACCCCTTGGTTTGAAGCTATTCTGTTCACTAGTTCTGATTGTGATTTTAGATAAATGAGGGTTTTTCTTCCCTGTACCTTGTCTTTAGAAAGGGGATGAAGGGTGATACTGTCAGTTGCTCCTGCGGTTGTTTCTCAAGCGCCTCACGCCTCACTTCGTCCTCCTTGTTTGAAGCTGTGCTTCCCAGCCTCCTGAATACCTTCTCCCTGTGGTCACTCCTCACAAGGATGTGCTGTCCTTTTCCACTGACAGGCATATAAGCAGAGTCGAACTATGAAATGTATAATCCTCCCAATTATATATAATAATGTGTGTTCTCCGTAGGGGCGCCTGGGTGGCTCAGTGGGTTAAGCACCTGCCTTTGGCTCAGGTCACGATCCGGGGTCCTGGGATCGAGCCCTGTGTCCCTTGGGCTCTCTGCTCAGTGGGGAGTCTGCTTCTCCCTCTCCTGTCCCTCTGCCCTTCCCCTGCTTGTGCTCCTTCTCTCTCTCAAATAAAATCTTTTTTATTTCTTTTTAAAAGATTTTGTTTATTCATGAGAGACACAGAGAGAGGCAGAGACACAGGCAGAGGGAGAAGCAGACTCCCTGCAGGGGATCCCCAGGACCCCAGGATCATGCCCTGAGCTGAAGGCTGATGCTCAGCCGCTGAGTGACCCAGGAACCCCAAATAAAATCTTTTTTAAAAATGTGTGTTCTATTTATATGCTTTAATTGGACATATTAGGTATCTTAGGACATAGGCGTTGAGGTTTTTCTAGAGTTAAAACTCCTCTAGGAAGAGATTTTTGACCAAACTGGTCATATGAAGCAATACTCATTAATAAAAGTGAAACAGGGGGATCCCTGGATAGCTCAGCGGTTTAGTGCCTGCCTTCGGCCCAGGGTGTGGTCCTGGAGTCCGGGATCGAGTCCCACATCAGGCTCCCTGCATGGAGCCTGCTTCTCCCTCTGCCTGGGTCTCTGCCTCTCTGCCTCTCTCTCTCTGTGTCTCTCATGAATAAATAAATAAAATCTTAAAAAAAAATAAATAATAAATAAATAAAAGTGAAACAAAAAAATAAAAAATAAATAAAAGTGAAACTTTTTGGTACTTAGTGGTCTCTTATTGAAAATTTCTCAGCAAAGCTTCTATTTTAGTAGACATAGTTTGCTGACTTTGTACCAAGATTCTTTCCTCCCTTCTTTCAGATAGTAAGCCCTCAAAATAGTTGTGAAATTGAATTGATTTGAATTATATTAGAGTTGCCAGATAAAATACGGAACGCTTTAGTATAACTATGTCCCATGTAATATTGGGCCATATTTAATACTAAAAATTATGTTATTTGTCTGAAATTCCCATTTAATTGAGCATTTAGCTTTTTTCTTCAGTTTGGCCTGGTGTTTTGTTTTTGCTAACTGTGGCAGCTCTATTTATATGGATGGAGACTGCCCCCTGAAAGCCACCTAGCATTGATTGCCTTCAGGGTTCTTTTTTTTTTTTTTTAAGATTTTATTTATTTATTCATGAGAGACACAGAGAGAGGCAGAGACACAGGCAGAGGGAGAAGCAGGCTCCCTGCGGGGAGCCCGATGTGGGACTCGATCCCAGGACCCTGTGGTCACAACCTGAACTGAAGGCAGATGCTCCACCCCTGAGTCACCCAGGTGTCCCACCTTCAGGCTTTCTGGGAACATGTCATTAACAGATTAAATTCTTTCATATGCTAGAGGGAAGGTAGTGAGATACCAGGTGCTCTTGGAACACCTCAACTGCACTAACTCGGAAGAAGAATCTGTCATTTCTAGAGCCCCAGCATATCAAGCTGTTTCTGCTGTTTCAGCAGGCTGTGAAGCGCTCAGGCCGGACCTGGCTTGGCCTTGAGCACTCCTGGAGCTAACGCTGCATTACTGCTCCGCCGGGGCAGATGACGTAGCAGGCATATCTAGACCTGCCCTTGTTGAGAACTAATCACACTTCCAAATTATAGGTATCTTAAAACCAAAAGAGCATAATGATTTGGGGAGGGAAATTGTTTTCCACCAAAATCATGACTCAGCAACATAACAGTTTATGTGTAATAGGCGAATTGGAATAACATTTATTTTTTTAAATACCATAAAAAGTCCATCAATTATGACATGATTTAAATATAATGTTTTCTTTAAGATTTTATTTAGTTGAGGGACTACTGGGTGGCTCAGTGGTTGAGCATCTGCCTTTGGCCCAGGAATAAATCAATTCCTCTCAGGAATAAATAAATAACATCTTTAAAATATATATATTTTATTTAGTTGAGAGAGCACAAGTAGGTGGAGGGGGAGAGGGAGAAAGAATCCCCGCTGAGCTGGGAGCCGACGTGGGCTCCACCCCAGGACACTGGGGTCATGACTTGAGCCTAAGGCAGACACTGAACCACCCAGGAGTTTAGAGATAAATTTTAAAAATCTTTCTGGAATCTTAGATAAACCCTGGGGCTGAGAATAGGACCCCGAGGAGCCAGTAGCACTGCATGTCCAGCAGGCGGCAGAAGCAGCCAAAATCATCAAGTTTAGGTGCATTTTATACCAAACTGTCTCTCTTTGGATGTGGACTTCAATATAAAAAGCATCTCACAAATAACCGGATTGATATATTTTAACATTTTAAATGATGCTAAAGAAAAACAGGTTTTGCTATTTAGTAACATTTAAATTTATAAACACTTTTTTTTAATTTGAGGAAATTTATAAATGTTCTTAAAGCTGTATAGAATTACCTTTTTTATTATTATTATTTTTTAGAATCCCATTTGTTTTCACCTTTGGGAATGAACATAAACTTGTTCATTCAGGGCCGCCTGGGGGGCTCAGTGTGGTTAAGCATCTGCCTTGGGCCCAGGGCGTGACCCCAGTGTCCCGGGATCGAGTCCCATGTCGGGCTCCCTGCGTGGAGCCTGCTTCTTCCTCTGCCTGGGTCTCTGCCTCTCTCTTTGTCTCTCGTGAATAAATAAATAAATCTTTAAATTAAAAAAATTAAAAATTTAAAAAAGGAAGGGAAGAGCGAATCACAAGGGAGGCTACAAGAACAAGCTGAGAATTTCACATTTTTTTCTTTTTCCCACTGTTGTCCCGGAGGAGGTGCGCTGTTCCTGGATACCTGTAAGAGCAGGACGGTGCCCGGAGTGGACACAGCAAACTCCTATTCCATCTCCCTGCTCCAAAAACCCATTTAATATATTGTCCTTGGAGAGAAGACGTATCAGATATTAAACTGATGGAACACATACGACACTTGATCTTAGCCAAAAGGCTGAGAAGCGATACGCATTTCAAGTTTTTTTTTTATTTGACTTATCTCTGCACCCAATGCGGGGCTCAAACTCACGACCCTAAGATCAAGAGTTGCACACTCCACCGACTGAGCCAGCCAGGAGGCCCTATGTTAATTGTTTAAATGTCCTTTTTGCTGTTGAATTCTACTACCATCCAGGTTTAGGTTATAAAACACCGGCTCAGGGCAGCCCGGGTGGCTCATCCGTTTAGCGCTGTCTTCAGCTCAGGGCGTGATCCTGATGACCCGGATCAAGTCCCACATTGGGCTCCCTGCATGGAGCCTGCTTCTCCCTCTGCCTCTCTCAATCTCCCTCTCTCTGTGTCTCTCATGAATAAATAAATAAAATCTTTTAAAAATCTAAAAAAAATAAGACACTGGCTCAGATTCAAGTGTGTAACCAGAAGTTTTGTTACCCATTTACCTGCATTCACTCCTCGAACAGCAACAACGTGCAGCTACTGAATCATTCAGGTGGTGACTTAGTGGCAGGCTGGCGATAAAGTAGAAAGGCCAAAGGAGCACCGTGAAGCCCTGCCCTGCGACACCGTGTGTGCTGTCCTAGGAGGAGGAACAAGTGGGAGTGTAACCACATCAACTGTCTCCAAACCTTACTGTTCCAACGCAATGACTCCCAGCTTGGTTTTTGGCTCTAAATATCCCTCCACATTCCACCAAATGGAAACATGCTGAACTACACTGAAAGAAGGACAAAAGTTAGGTCTAAACTCGGGGCCAGTCAAGCAGTTTGCTTCTGAACCTTTCCTTCCCACTAGGCCCACGCTTTGGGATCTTGGCTCTCACGGTGTCTCTCCACACCAAGGAAGCAGGACCAAGGTAGAAAACCAGTTCTCTCCCCAAGGCACCCACTTAGTGCTCTTGCTCTCGAGGTTCATCCTGATTGCCTTCCGGTCTTGAGAGTTTAGGTCATCTCCTGTCTAGTCTTGGTCCCCCTGGATCAGCACAGAGACTATAGCACGAACAGATCAGATTCAGCCTTGAACCGAAGACACCCAAAAACAGATGATTTCCAGCGGTTCAGTTGTTTTTTTTTTTTTTTAATTTTTTTTTCGGTTCAGTGATTTTTAAGATTTTATCTATTTGAGAGAGAGCATGAGCCAGGGCAGAGGGAGCAGGGGGGAAGGGGAAGCAGACTGCCCTGCTGAGCGCACAGCCTGACCCGGGGCTCCAAGGACCCCAGGACCCCTAAGGACCAAGATCACAACCTGAACCTAAGCGAGACACTTAACCAACTGTGCCACCCAGGGGCCCCACCAGTTCAGTTCGGTTCTTCTACTACTAGGGTAGCCCAATTTTTAACTTGGAGATTGTTTATTCCTTAATCTCTACACCCAACGTGAGGCTTGAACTCACGACCCTGAGATCGAGAGTCCCATGTGCTTCCAACTGAGTACTGGCCTGCAGCCGCCAGGCGCCCCATTTTAAACTTGACCCAAAGGATTTGTTCCAAAATAACACAACGGGGAAAATGGAAAGGGACGTGAGGCAAGATGGGCGGAACCAGCGGACCAGGTTCAAGGCATTTGTTGCCATCGGAGATTACAACGGACACGTGGGTCTGGGCGTCAAGTGCTCCAAGGAGGTAGCCACTGCCATCCGTGGGGCCATCATCCTGGCCAAGCTTTCCATCGTCCCCGTGCAACGAGGCTACTGGGGGAACAAGATCGACAAGCCCCACACTGTCCCATGCAAGGTGACTGGTCGCTGTGGTTCTGTGCTGGTGCGTCTCATCCCTGCCCCCAGAGGCACTAGCATTGTCTCCGCCCCTGTGCCCAAGAAGCTACAATGATGGCTGGTATGGACGACTGCTACACTTGGGCCAGGGGCTGCACTGCCACCCTGGGGAACTTGGCCAAGGCTACTTTTGATGCCATCTCCAAGACCTACAGCTATCTCACCCCTGATCTCTGTAAAGAGACTGTGTTCACCAAGTCTCCCTATCAGGAATTCACTGACCATCTTGTAAAGACCCACACCAGAGTCTCCGTGCAGAGGACCCAGGCTCCAGCTGTGGCTACTACATAGTTTTATACAAGAAAAATAAAAGTGAATTAAAGCTTGTAAAAAAAAAATGTGTACACGTGTGCTTTGTAAGGGAGGTAAATGGAACAATGAGCTTAGCACAGACAACTCTTTGGTACAGGGATGGGAATAGGGGCGCCTGGGTGGCTCAGGGGTTGGCGTCTGCCTCCGGCCCAGGTCGTGATCCTGCAGGGAGCCTGCTTCTTCCTCTGCCTGGGTCTCCCATGAATAAATAAAATCTTTTAAAAAAGGGGGGGGGGACTGGACGATGTTAAATGCCTGCAGAGACGAGGAAGGTGGTCAGAGCTGCACCCTTGTGGAGGATGGCAGAGACGCAGTGAGGTCAGGGGCCAGGGGCATGGGCGAGGCAGGGCTGAGCACCCTTCCCGGGTGGCCGCCACTTCGCATCCCGCAAGGGGCCAGAAAGGGGCCGGACAGACGGAAATGCAGGCTTACTTCCCGCCGGGGGGTCATGGTCTCGAGTGGGAGTGATGCACTCGGGCCTGCAACAAGCTGGTGCGGGCCGGGTTATGCCAACACACCGGCTCCCAAGCAGCAGAGCTCGGGCAAGACCTAACCGGGGCCCTGAAGACCGGCGAGAATTCGGATTTGAGAAGATTGCAGGACTCAGAGCCCGCAAGGAGCACGGGGAGCCCCGGGAGCCCCGGGTGGAACTCGGAGGCAAGGCGCTAGGTCTTGCTAGCTTTACGGGGCTTATGCGGGTTTTTACGTGGTCAAACGGGGCACCAGTGATACACTGCAAGGGCAAAATAGTTTCTGTAACAGCTAAACATTTCAAGATCAAAGTTTCAATGATTTATGCTTTAAAGGTGCTTGTTAGAACTGTATCTGGGGGGCGCCCGGGGGACTCGGTGGTTGAGCGTCTGCCTTCGGCTCAGGCCATGATCCCAGGGTCCTGGGATCGAGTCCCGCGTCGGGCTCCTCTGCCTAGGTCTCTGCCTCTCTCACGAATAAATAAAATCTTAAGAAAAAGAACTGTATGTGGAGTGCATTTATCCTTGATGGCTTTTACAAATCCTTATGGCAAACGGGAAAAAAAACAAAACAAAAGCTTACCACCTTGGAAAAAGACGGCTTACCCCTACCCTTCCTCCATGACCCTAACTCTTGCAGTAATAAGCACGAACACACATTTTGAGATTAAACAGGCAGGTTTTTATTATCAAATGTAACAATTCTACAAAAACTCAATGGTATTGTGGTTAGGTATTACTTCCTATCTTAAAGTCCTTCAGAGGTTTGGGCAGACAGCATCTTAAAGCATCCGGTATAAACAACTCTTTTTCCGATCTTAAGTGCCAGTTGTCACCAATCTTCACACAAAATGGTTTTCTATTTTTTTTTTTTTCCTGCTGCAGTTAAAGGGCCATTGCTGGTCAGGTGAAGAGGGAACGCTTGGCTCTCCATTCAAGATGTTAATCAAAGTAATGCAAAGTAAATAAAAATAGCAGCCACATAAATCTGCAGGGCATTGCATCCAAACGCTAAGGACAACAGGAGGAACTTAAGAAACGCATGTACACTTAATCAGATCCTATTTTCCTCTTTGGAGTTACGCGAGGCAGCAGTACTAGCTAGCTAGTGTCTAATATTGCACTTTTGTAGCTAAACACATAGTGCTAAACACTGACAGCATCAATAGCTGCTCTAACCGCTTCAGTGTTTACCTCTCAGTCCAGCATGCTGACTATAATCCTATGCTTTTAAAAGTTTTAATTATTTGACAGTTAAGGCATTAGAGAGAAAGGTTTAAGGCTCTATCTTAATATATACAAGCATTCACTTCAGTTAGTATATTGCTTTCTAGAATACACTGTTCAAATAGTCTCATTTTACGATATTAAAAACTATGGGATTTCTCTTAAAGTCCAAACCATCAGTAATGGGAAAAGTACAATATAAAATAACACATACGAAGCCACAATGTTCCGTTACGGTTTAAACTAGAAATGACTAACTACACATAGCTGCTTCATTTTTGGTTTCGCATTTTGGCCCCTAGTTCGTTCTTATTTACAAACTGGTACGTGCTGAAGAAAAAGATGCGACTTTTAAGCTATGAATGTTTGGTGGTGGGTGCGCAACATCTTCTGATTTATCCCAAGATGTGTTAAAAGTCAAGTTTCATTGGCTTAACTGCAAGACATCATGAGGGCCAAGGCAGTGGGAAAATAATCGTTTTATTTCTTTTCTTAAGTTTGTGACTTAAAGATCCCAAGACCTTATTCTTGAATGACTTAGGAAGAGGGCACGCTTGTGCAGAAGACCGGGAGATGGAGGATGAACAATGGAAACACACGAAGGAAGCTTCCACGACAGAGTTCCTCATGGAGATGGTAGACGCTAATATTTTTTTTTGTCCAAGACTTAAAACTTAGGAAACACTCATGATGCCACGTTAGCTGGAAGTAATGGCGTCACCCGATTTCAAATTCACATTTTAAATGCCTATTTGCAACCAGCAAGGAGCCAGGCATGCTGCTTGCTACAAGGATTTGGCTTCACTGGCTCAAATTTTTTACTCTACCCAAAGATAGGGCAAAAGCCCACTGTCCAATCATGTTTGCTGAAAATACTGCAGCCTGAGTGTAGACAAACTTCCCCTGACGTTGCTAGAAGTTGTCGCATCTGACGGTTTCGGGATCACCACACATCTTTCAAACACTGGGGAAAAAAAAACAAAAAAAACCAAAAAACAAATGGAAATATTAGTCTCTAAATTTTTCAATTATTGGCAGCTATAAAAAAATGATTTTGAATTACAAAAGGTCTAAAAAGCCTTAAGGTGGTCCAAATTTTTATTTTACACGGACATAGCTGGCATTTCCACAATTCCCCATCCTTCGTATTTCCACGTGTGATAACGTGGATGTTTTCACCTTCACTCAGCTCCTCTGTGCAGAGACCATTTTACGTCTATTCATACACAGACATTCCTCGGTCTGGGTCCCCACGTTACCACAGCATTCTTTCGACAGCAGAGGCTCGATACCATTATTAAAACCATTAAGACCATTTTTAAAAACTACATTCTAGGGATCCCTGGGTGGTGCAGCGGTTTAGCGCCTGCCTTTGGCCCAGGGCGCGATCCTGGAGACCCGGGATCAAATCCCACGTCGGGCTCCCGGTGCATGGAGCCTGCTTCTCCCTCTGCCTGTGTCTCTGCCTCTCTCTCTCTCACTGTGTGCCTATCATAAATAAATAAAAATTAAAAAAAAATTTAAAAACTACATTCTAGTAGAAAAAATTTCAAATAATGTGAAACAAAAATATTTGAATAAGAAGCCCCGGGGCATGGCGTTATAGGAAACAAGAACTCTGTATGTCAGTGACTAGCTAGTTAACAACCTTCCTGTGGATTAATTCATTTATCCGCACAACTACCCTATTGGATTACCATGTTATCCCCATTATACAGATGGGGAAATGGAGGCCCAGAGCGATTAAATCACTAATCAGCAGGTCCAGGATGTGAATGCAGATTGGCTCTATTATGCTATTTCACTTACACACCACACAAAAACTTCTTTAAAGTGAAAACTTTAACTGGGTATATCGTGCATACTTTCACACATCGATGGGAAACAGGACTGCAGATAGAAACGAGAACAGTTCTTCAGAGTTCAGACCTGTTCGTATGGCCAGTTTGATATTGTAGCCAAGGTTAGATTTCCTTTAATAAGAAATTCAAAAATTGATACAAATTTAGAATCAGGTATTTAAAAAAACAGAAATATTTGTTAGAATTCATCCTTAAAATGTGGTTTACAGGGATGCTTGAGTGGCTCAGTGGTTGAGTGTCTACCTTTGGCTCAGGGCATGACCCCAGGGTCCTAGGATCAAGTTCCACATTGGGCTCCCTGTGAGGAGCCTGTTTATCCCTCTGCCTGTGTCTCTGTCTCTCTCTCTGTCTCTAATAAATAAATATATTTTTTAAAATGTGGTTTACAAAGTGATATTTTAGTGCTCAGTGTAAAACACGATACATCGAAAGCTTCTCCTTGGATACCAAATACAAATAAAATTTCTATCAATGGCCTAGCAATACAACTGTCTAAGATCTACTGTATCCTACTTTTGGCAAGAACACTTGGATTTTCCTTAAATGACATGTGTCCCATCATCCATCCTCAAGCCCATAACACGGCAACTTTACAACGGAGCCCAACAATGACACACACGACCAATCAGAGCGCTGTATGTCTCTGGCAATGGTGTTTTCTGAAATGGACTTAAGGCCAGGCCAGTGAAGCTCAGTTCCTGGCTTGCATCTGGACTTAAATTGGACTCCCAGGAATCCAAGTGTTGCTGGGAGTACGTCATGGATAGAGGTTGGCCAAGAGTAAGCCCTTGGATTCAGGCAAGTCCGTCAACCCTGGGTCTGTCATCAGTTAATAAATTAAAACTTCCTCATTCCCAGCTCATATTATTGTTATTCTAGTAAGAAACCAACTTACTTGCTGAAAATTATACCTTCATATTGTGAAAATGTAGAAAAGTCTGAAAAGAAACTAGAAGTCTAACCTTCTCAAGCCTGCTTTTCAATCCCAGTAGTATCTAATGCAATTTTAGTATTTAGCAATGAAACTGTAGACTCTAAGCTGCTAGCAAAAGACAAAATCCCCAACTGCCCCCCTCAACAACAAAAACCTCCAAAACAAACAAAAAAACTAAAGTTTCCTATTCTCCTTTAGGCGCAGAAAAGTGGACAGTAAAACAGGAAACTATTATGCAAAGACAATTTTGAGTTACAACTGCAAATGTTCACAAATCTGTCTTTCCTTTCCAGTGAAATCTGTTTTTAAAAATGTTTTATTTTGCATACTGTCATCGAAAGTACCATGTACAAAAAAATCTTTAATAAAGATTTTATTTATTTATCACACACACACACACACACACACACACACACAGGCAGAGGCACAGGCAGAGGGAAAAGCAGGCTCCCTGCGGGGATCCCTATGCGGGACTCAATCCCAGGACCCCAGGATCACCCCCTGGGCCAAAGGCAGGCGCTCAACCA